TATACATCGGTAATTGTAATAGTTATTATTACTGAGAATCTTATTATAATCTTTAATTATGGTTGCAAAATGTTAAAGGATTTTATCGCTTAAGAAATGATATGAATTTATGGATTTGTTGTCATGCAATCAATTATTCATAATTATTGATGATGTCCATGAGGTAGTCAAATAATTTTAATATGCACATCTCATCCTTTATCTCATAAAAATTAGATTAAAATGTACGATCTAAGTTAAAAAGATTAAGATTAAAAAAATTACACTTCTTTCACATAACCTTAACTTTCCAGTCATTTTAAATAAGAAAATCTTAAGTTTAGTGGAAATCCTATAAATATCCTAGTTCTTTATTCTGATTTAGATTTATATCTTTACCTTCTCACAATTTTGAGCACCTACAATCTAAGCTCTCTTAATTAAATTTGATTTATTTCTTAATTACTTTTACCCTATCTAGTCAATTTAATAGATACCATTTAATCTTTTTAAATTTAACATATGCAAAGAAAAAGTCTATTTATTCATTTATAATTAGTAAATTTTGGAGCTTATGTTACCCCAAGAATGTTAACTATTTTGGAATTGTGTCTAAACTTCTAACTATACCATAATGAGAGAAGATACTTTATATATGAAATAATGTTTAAGATTAAGGAAAACTTATTATAAAATACTCTCTTACAAATATGGCTATGTTGTAAATTAATCTTAATTTATATTTTAGTGAAAAAGGAGCATCATTCACTAAATCCATCATTTTGAAAAAAAATAATAAGAATATTAAACCCTTATTATTTAAAAAAAAATAATTAAAAACATCTCAATGAGCTAAATAATATATTTTATTTTATTTAATATTGCTATTATGGCTACTTAAAAACATACAAATCCTTGTTGAATTTATTATTTTCCTTTTTTATTTTTTTAATTAATTGAATTCCTGTGTCGATCCAAAAAAATTCTCATTTAAGAAGAATCTGATGGAGATAATATGATGATCTTATTTCTAATTTCTTATTTTTTATTATTTAAAATATAATCTTCTTATTTGGTTAAGTCATATTTTTATTTATTCAAAATATTATATACTTACACCCTAATTATTTGCACTTTAATTACTTCAATTCTCTTTCTCACCTTTCTTTCTTTTAAATTGCTTGTTTAGTTTGGCTTGATAATTAAAATATTAAATATCTCATAAAATTTCTTTCACTTTTATATAAATTATAATATTATTATTTTATCCTTGAAAAATATATGCATCATTCTCTCAAATACTTAAACCAATGTTTTATAATTAATTCAATGACTACTTAGTTGATTAACCTGACCCATTTTTATATTTATGCATTATTTCCAAAGAACGCAAATCGTGATTTATAATCTTAATCTCCAAAGATTTTTCTATTGGAAGAGGCTAGCTATGTGCCATTTCTTAATTAAGTGTTTTTGTTTCAAAAATGTGCTCACTACTCAATTAACTACTCAGAGGATCGGATAATTATGCTAAATTTATTATCTAAACTTACTTCCACTTAAATGTTAGTTATTCTATATAAATTAGTTTGATCCAAAGTTTATATTATTGGCTAATAATTTGATAATAATAAATTACTTTAATTTTGAGATTACTGAATATTAGAAACTTGTTAGTTTTAATTAAAACCATTTTTACTTTAGTTCTATGGATTAAAAGGTTGTACTTATGATTATTAATTTATAGGAGGCAAATCAACCATTTAATATCTTGGTTGATTCAAAATTGCAAATGGATCTACAGATTATTATTATTATTATTATTATTATTATTATTATGATTATTATTATTATTATGATTATTATTATTATTATGATTATTATTATTATTATGATTATTATTATTATTATTATTATTATTATTATTATAAAGGAACAAATTCTAAATGAGTTTTTTAAACCTATTAGTTATTATTATAAACTGATTATTATTCTAATGGATAATTATAATTCGAAGATTATTTTTATAGCATCCCAATTATTTGAGGCTGAGATATCTAAGGTTAAAATTGATTAGGATTATTTTAATAAATATTTTATTAACCAAAAGGTTTTATTTGCTCATAAGGATTAGGATAAAAGTTATTTTATGATATTTATTATTAATAATGTTAAGATTATTAATGTTGGTATTATTGTTATTATAAATTTGATTACTGTTATCCAATAATTTACTATTATTATCCGCCACCTTATTATGGATATCCGCCTTATTAAGGATATCCACCTTATTAAGGATATCCACCTTATTAAGGATATCCACCTTATTAAGGATATACACCTTATTATGGATATCCACCTTATTATGGATATCCACCTTATTATGGATAACCCGCACCACCTTAGTATGGATAACCTGTACCTCCTTACTAAGGAATTTATTAAGGGTATTAATTAGGATTATAAGATTGTTATTATTGTTATGGCTAATAGATTAATCCTGGAACATCAAGAACCTAATATTTTTTACTAAAATCTTATGCATATTTTTAAACAGATGGAGATTAGATATTTAAAATACCAAAGAGTAGTTTAGCACTAGGATCAACCGATTAGTCAAATTTATTGACAATATCACAGCCATAATAATCATTCAGATTTTATTTGAGATCAACAGCCCCCCTTAAATCACCACTATTTTCAATATAGTAACAAACACTGGCGATATAACTAACAATAGAGATAGAAATTTTACGGAATGAATTGTGCGACTTTGGTAGAGTCCCCTTAACTTGTTATAATCTAACCCTTGAATTGATCTAAGTTGGATATTTAACTAAGAGGAATATATTAATTTTTTATACATAATAGCTTTCTCATATGCTTCAATCTTATTAACGAGATTGGCAATTTTAATGACTTGTACTTCTTCATCCTTTCTATTTCTTTAAGGTGCTTTGAGCATAGCAAGTAATCTTTTTTCTTAATCCAAGGCATCATTTATCTTTTTATCTTTGTCAATATTAATATATTATTTAGCTTTCATTAATAGAATATCTAATTGTTACTAGGCTAAATAAACAATAAATACAAGGGTTAAGGTGAATTTCTATTTTGGTTCTTCTTTTTTGGACTTAGAAAACATTAGGATTAATTAATTAATTAATATAGAAAAAATAACAAAATCGACTTTAGTATGAGAGTATATTAATTAATATAATAATGTTGAATGTTCTAACAATCACTTTTAAATTCTATTCTATTTGGCAATAAGTTTCTTAATAGAGGAATTAACATTTGATGATTTTTATTTAAATTATCCACCAAATAATTATGCTAACATGAGCAAATCAGGGGATGCATTTTCTAAACAGAAATAAAGATAAAGTTACCTTCCTCATAGACTAAACAGAAACAGAAAGTTTCAGCCTTAGGATCGGAGGCAGGATCATGTCCTTGTGCAACAGCAGATAAATAACTACTCAAAGCACATAAAACATCAGATGCATTCTCAACAGTGATTTCAACAACTTTTGGACATCTAAATTAGATATATTAAATTACTTTTTCTTTTGAATAGGTTCAGATGGGATTAATTCCTTAGAATCATCATATTCATAAACAGGTCTTGGGAAATATCCGAAAGCTAATTTAATTGATATATATATTAATACTGTAATCATAATTGGATGTTCTATATGATCCATCGAAGAAATTCAACATGAATCCTTAAACTTTACCATTAAAAGGTGGGTAGAATTTATCTTATCCAAGATAGAAATAGATTTTGCCTGCATAATAATGTCTAACATCTTTGAATTCCATTTAAGCCATTTCATGAGTGAATTCCATGTATCCATATGCTTTGTTCAAATGTCTACTGTAACCAAAATAAACATAGAACCATTCTGTTAATTTATTACCATATTTAACCATTTTACAATCATTAACTTTAGATTTACTAAATATAATTAATATAAATAAATACCCATTAGCAGTTTTATATGAATAAGTACAGAAAGCAACATGACCTTAAAGATTATCTTCATCACCTACGAAGAAAGACAGTCCTCTATCCCCAAGAAGTCTAAAGTTTTAATTAGTTTCTTGATTATTGGTTGTCCATCTGAATCCTGAATGCCAGATATTCTAATCATTTGGTGTCTCCCATTTGAACCAACCACTTGCAGAATATTCGTCAGGTAACATTGGTTTCTTATTTTCAAAGACACTATCATAATCAAAAGCAGCTGGAGATACAAATGTTCTCTCCTTTTCAATTGGTATGGTCAATCTCTTACCACTGTAGATATTTTTAGGAATTCCATAACAATTAGTAATGAATTAATTAAATTCAGTAGCTTCTGTATATAATTCATCATTAAATGCAAATACTCTAGCAATTTAACCATTAAATGATTTAACATCACCATCTGGTCCTCCTATCACTAATTGATAAGATTCATCTAAAGTAAAATTGACATCAAATTCAATAGTTTCAACATCCTATCCTTATATTTAAGCAAATCCTGTAACTCTTTAATTAGAGATACCAAAGTATACAAGTACCCATTATCCTTCAATATCACCATGTCCAGCATTCTTATATGTTTCTACACCATTCTCATCAAATGAACTGAAATGGAAACCTCCTTATCCAACATAGAATTTCAAAGCATTTCCTAAACCAGCAACAAAGAATTTAGTTTCTTGATTCAATCCTTCAGGAACAGCATCTGGGAATTTAGATAACCATCTGAAATAGAAAGATAATCCAATAATTTAAGATTCAGTAACTGGTAAATCACTTACAGCAATTGGTTCTGTACTCAACCAACTTATATCTAAAACATCTTCTGGAACTTATCTACATCCTTCTGGTAATACTTCTTATTCTTCATCTTATTAATCATCTGGAATTGGTTCATCAGCTGTACTACTCTCTTCTTCATCCAGTGTTTCTTCATCATTAATTGTTTCCTCAGTACTACCTGCTTCTTCTTCATCTCTAACTGCTTCTTCACCACTTGCTTCTTCATTTTATTCTTCATCAAATTAAGTAGGTTCTCCAACAGCACTTTCTTCAGCTTCTGATTATTATTCCTCTCCCCCTTATTCACCATCTTATTATTATTCTTCTGGTGTTTCTCCTGATTATTCACCTTCTTCTGCTGTTACTCCTTCACCAACTTATTCTTCTTCTTATTCCCATTCTTCTTCTTCTTCTTCTTCACATGCTTCTTCTTCTGCAGGTACTTCAATATCAATTTCCTCAGCTGGTTCATCAATTTACATTTCTTCTTCAGCCTAAGGTACTGTCTCTTCAGATCCTTCTGCACCACTTTCTCCAACTTATTCTTCTTCTGCATCAACATTTTATTCTTCTTCTGCATCTACAACTTCTTCTGCATCTTATCCTTCTTCTGCACTATCTCCTTATTCTTCTTCTGCTGTATCTACTTATCCTTCTTCTGTACTTTCACCTTATCCTTCCTCTGTACTGTCTCTAATATCTTCTTCTGAACCTTCTTCTGGTACTTAAATATCAATCTCTTCTTCTGGTTCATTAATGTCTTCTTAATCTACTTATTCTTCTGCATCTTATTAACCTTCTTCTTCTCCTCCTTCTACTGCTGCTTCTGTATCTACTTCCTCTTCTGCATCTGGAGTATCAACTTATTCTTCAACTTGACCTTCCTCCGGGCCTGCTTATTATTCTTCCTCAGCTCCTGGTTCAGTTTCTTCAACTCCAGCAGCACCTTCTTCCCCAGAAACTGTCTCTTCTGGTTCTGTTGTTTCTTCTGCTATTACAGGAGCTTCTTCATCAATTTATTCTGCTCCTTCTTCTGGAGTCACAACTGTTTCTTCTGTATCATCAATAGTTGCTTCTTCAGTCGTTTCTTCTACTGGTTCATCTGAATCTTTTTAATCATCTGGGACTGGATCTTAGGTTGGCTCAGTTTTAGGATCTTCTGTAGGCTCAGGTTTTGGATCCTCTGTTGGCTCAGGTTTTGGATCTTCTTTTGGCTCTGTGATTGGATCAGTTGTAGGTTATTAAGGTTCTGATGGAGTATCGCAACTTTCATCACCTTTGATATCTATGGTACCTCCACAACCAGCTCTTATAACTTAGAGATCATGGATTTTTCCTTTAATTTTAATTACAGTTATTGGATGTTATTAGCATTAGGATTAAACATTCCTAAGGGAAAGTATGAAATAAGAGAGCAATTTTAAGAGAGCATCACAATTATCTTCAGATTTCTTAAGACATCCACATTATTGTTTAAGAGCTTCTACTTCGGCTAATCCAATTTTAGTAGATGTTTTAGGTAATTTAAGTTGACTTAATGATTTGATGACTTATTTATGTGTTGCTTTAAGACCGACTTTTGCCTGAATGCCTTGTAATACTTTAATATCATGATCAATATAATCCTTATGTTCTAACAAGTCTTACCATTAAGACAAGGAATTCTCCATCTAAATGAATTCAGATTAGGGACGTGAACAATCGAATTAAGATGTATCTAAAGAATTCATCTGCTCCAAACTCATAAGGGTCAGAGACTCCTCCAAGCCATGTACTAAGGTAATGGCAATGATGAACAACAAATATGAGTTTCTCATTTAATAAAAAATATTAAAAAACGACTATCCATGAATGCAAGATGATTTTTATAATTACTTATTTCTGGAGATCAATTTATTTTTATTGTGATGATCCAATTTATGTTATATTCAATACAATACCATTTTAGATGATATTAATTAAATTATGTAGCCACTCAAAAATCCATTTGGTATAATAGATCCAAATGAAAAGCCAAAGTAATACTAGAATAATCCATTCGATATATGTATGTATCCCTTTAGATAATAATTTAAGAAAATGAAGAATTAAACGAAACAATAAAATTAGGTGACAACGTGGTATATCAAGAAGAGAAACAATTATTGTTTGATTAATCAAAATAATAGCCTCTTGAAACTGTTGAAGACATTTCGTTATTGGAAGGTATTTAAATAGATTAAACAATAAATTAGACCTTGATATAACATCACCATTACTAATAAAATCTAGAATAATGAGTGTTCTCTTTTTCTAAAAATGTGATAGTGAATATTTAGAAGATCCTGATCTATCAGGTCCTCTCTTGATTGTTGTATCATTAGGACTGTTGCCATTATTTGTAAATACTTATTATTAATTCATCAGACCGGAAGAGTACATTTCAATTTTATTTATGGTATTGGAGTTTGGGGTTGGTTATTACTTTATTTTTTAATGAATTTTATGATTCAATAATAAGGAAAATAGATAGAGTTTTATAAAATTTTGAGTTATTTAGGCTATGGTTTATCACAAATAGTCATATTATCAATTCTTAGTCTATTTAAGGAATTAAAGTACTTATATTGTAATAATTAAATAGTAATTCCTTTGGATATGCATTAGCTATTACTTGTGCAATTTGGTCAACAGCCAGCGTTTCTAAGACATTTGATACAGTAATTTTATATTATAGTATTAAGATTTTAGGATTATAACACAGAAGATTCTTGATTGCCTATCCATTATTTTTATTCTATTGTACATTTGTTATTATAACAATATTTTGATGAATTATTACATGTAAATAATGTAAATTAATAAAATCGATAAATATTAATTAGTTCATTCTTATGCCCCTTAATCTTGATATCTAATTTCTTCTTCTCCTTAATTTCCTTATTCATCTTAAAAATCTTCTTAAACAGGATGTTCTTCTTCTTAAATTTCCACTTATTAACCTTAATGTTCTTATTATTACTGAATATCCTATTAATCTTATTATTCTTCTTCTTCTTCATTAACTTCTCTTATAAATTAATCATTATCTTATTAATTTTCCATAACTTCTCTTTAAACTTATTCGAGTTATTCTCTCCAATCTCCTAAATTATTCAGTTAATCTTATAAATACTATCTCTAAGTAAAAGTTAAAGAAAATGTATTGTTATAATTATTTTAATTACTTAAAGTTCCATCTAAAGCTCCTGTTTAAAATATATTTTATTCACTAGTTACATTAAAAGTTTATTAATTTTAATCACTTTCCAATAAATGTTCTTATTACAATTTATATTTTTCTTCTTCATATTCTTATTTTAATTTTTATTCACTTTCCTCTGGGAAATCTTCCAATTCACCATCTCTCATAAATGATCCTGTTCCAAAAACAGGTTCTTAATCTTATAATAATTATTATTGCTATAAAGTTAATTAATTATTATTTTATTATTGTCTATTCCTATAATTCTCCCATACAGCAGCCTTTTAATAAGGTTCCTTATATTATTCTTCATAAACATTCAAAATAGATTTCACTTTCTCATTCTAAATATCTATATACTATTATTACTTATAATAATTTTTTAACTTGATCTTCATTTGAACTTATCCTTTTATCTATTGAAACTATCAATTAAGTAACAAAATCCATTTAAGATACAATTTTCTCAAATTTGGTTGATAACATTTATGCTAAAGGACTTTGATGAGTTTAATTCACCAAAAGAGATTAAGAAGTCTAGTTTTCATAATTTATTTTATTTTATTATTTATTTGCTTTGAAAGTAGTTTAAGGAACCTTAAATTAATTTGAAGAAGATAATGTTTATGAATCATTATCTTATAAATTTTTATCAACAAAATTAATAACATTAAATGGCTTCATATTTTCATCAAAATTAGATTACCAAACTAAAACATTAGAATCTAAACCAGCTGAAGCAAAATAATCTCCTGCGTAATTAAATTATACTTATTTAATTGGAAATTAATGAGAATATAATGACCATGCTAATCTTCCTTATCTAAGATCAAATATTTTAAGATTGCTTTCATCATCTCCAGATAATAAAAAATTACCACTTGGATGAGTATGAATTGTATTTACTGATTTTTTACTGCATTCATAATATTAAATTAATCTCATAGAACGTGCATCCCATAATTTAATTTTTCCATCCAAAGAACCAGCACATATTGTAGTTCCATCACTAATCCAATCAATTGTATATATTGAATCTTCACATTTAAATTTTTATAATTCTTTTGATATATTAACATCCCATAAACGAACTGTTGAATCATCTGAACCAGAAACTACTAATCTAGAATCTGGAGATAACTTAGCTTATCTTACCCAATTAGTATGTCCTGCTAATGAAAACATAAAGTTGTTCTTTAATACATTCCAACCCTTTATTGTTTTATCATCAGAAGATGATACTATCATACTACTATCTGAAGAAAATGATAAAGATCTCACACTACCAATATGTCCCTTTATTGCTGTACATTTCCCCAAACTATTAAACTTATATTAATCTCAAATTACACAGAATTCTTCCATAATCTAATCGTCCTATCTTCTCCTCCACTTGCTATTATTTAACCATCTGGAGAAAATTAAACACTATACACTGCTCCTTTATGTCCATTAAATTTATATGGCCTTCCTTAAGGTTTGAAACTATAAACCTATATTATTGAATCATTCCCTCCAGATGCCAATTATCTCATTTATGGATCAAATGATAGACAATATGTTTTTTTATGTCCTCTATATGATCGAGATAATTAAGGATCTTGCAATGTCTATAAATGACGGACAATCCCTTTAGGTTCTTCCATTTTAATTTGAATTTAAATTATATTAATAATCGTACAACACTTTGATTATAATTAATTTATTTACAAACTATTATTAATACCTTCAAAATGTTTTTTTCTAAGTCTCTCATCTTTCATATCTAGAAATATTACTAAATCTTACAAATAATTAAATCTAACATACAATCTAAGTTTTTCCATCTTTCAATAATGAAGTCATTGTAAATTGTATCTTTTAATAATAATCACAATTCCTTAATGTACTGTATGTGTAATTATCTTAAAATTAATATTAATCATCTTTTAAAATACTCACAATCATCAGAATACTTAATATAAATTTGATTTATTTCCATATCTTAAAATTAATATCATGATTGACCTCCCAATAAAAACACACTTATAATAAATTATTTAAAATGATTTTCAATTATTTAATAAACATAGGGTAGAGAAAAACAGAATTTATTTTTATAAATCATTCTCAAATATTTAAAGTAGTAACTTCAAATAAATGTTTTTTGGAATAATTTAAATATTCTAATTAATGTTCCCCAATAAGCTATTAAGCTCTTTCTTTTGGAAAATTTTAAAAAAAAAAATTGCCTAATAGAGAGTTTCGAAACATACAGAAAAGAGTCATCCAAAAGGTTTGCTAGTATTTTGATTATAATGTTCATAATATATATGTGTATAATCATAACTCTTTGTTTTTTGGTCTATGCGGGAAGGTTGATCGAGTATTTGTAAATAATTTGAGATAGTGTATTAATTTAAATTATACCTGATTTCATTATTTTATTTAATAAATATCACTCTTTTTCTAAGAGAAGAAATCAAAGAAAGGTATTGTTATACAGGAAGAATATTAAACGATATTCTTTTCGTATTCGTATATACATTTATATTTTGCTATTTCAAGTTTATTATTTTAGGAATGAGCGAAGAAAATTAATTGAATGCTGATAAAAACTAAAACAAAAATAATCTTGAGAAAATAATAAAGTTAGATAAAAAGAATGGGAATTTTGATATTTATGATAAATACTCCAGGTAAGAAGAATATTCATCACAATTAGACGAAAGCTGAAGATTAGGACATCATAGAACAATTCCTACATAAACAGTTCATATTAGAATGAATACATATTATGTTATTTTTGGAGACATATAAATTAAGTGTACTTCAAAAAAGTGGATGAACCCGAATTAGAAAGACTTGAATATCTTAAAGCAATGAATGAAGATGCTATTGTGACAGAATTTCCTGTGAAATATGCAGATTATAAGTTTTATTAAGCAAGATAAATCTTAAATAAATAACAGATTTAATCAGAAAATAAAACTTATTGGGAGAATATTTAAAAGCATATTAAGTTGAGTGGTCTAATTCATAAAGCAAAAGCTTTAAAAATACCTTAGATTGAGAAAATATATTACATGAAACAAAAATCAATGGTTAAATTTAAATAAAAAAACATTAGGTATGTATTGTATATATAAAAATAATAAAGTTCACTAATTTAAGAAAATGCCTAATTAGATAAATTATTGGATAAGTTGAATGAACAGATAGAATTAAGGACAGGATAAAAAGATGAAATATTTCAACAATTATAAGAGTACTCTAATGAATTGTAACAATTAAATAAATCAAATAAAAAAGATCTTTAGAATTTGAGCCAAAAAATTAAATGTGAGTAACCTTTAAACGTCTTTGGAACCTAAGTGCATATATACAAATAAGGAAGAGGTAATAATGGTCTCAGCAAGAATTAAATAATCTATAATAATGAAGCACTATTGACATATTTAAGAAAGAGTCTAGAACAGTTAGATTATAGATAGACTGCAGAATCAATAGTAAAAGTCATAAATACAGTGCATTCTCCAAATGGTTATTAGTTCTGTGTGGCATTTGAATCAGCTTTAAATTCAACTTATGTAAATATAGATGAAGATTTAATGTATGAATTGGATAAACTCAGGGATACTTCTTTATTTAAATTTTATAATATCCCTCAAAAAACTAAATATTCTCATATAGCTTAAAATGTATAACATTATTTTGATTAATTAAGTTTATTGGCATAAATCAAGTATAATAGAATAGATAAAAGCCAAATCCATTGATAAATAAGAATCTAACAAAAGAATCTAAAACAGCTTAATCTTGTGATAATGATTCAATTTTATTAAGATATGAAGCATGTCATCATTGCAAAATGTTATTTAGAGAAGAATATCTAATATCTTGTAATTATAGAAGTGGAACTATGGGTCTTCCAATTATAAATTCATCAATAACAGATTCATATTTATTTGCTCAAAGTATGCTTTAATTTAAAAAATTTTTAGTGGATGATGAAGGCATCAAAAGTAGAAGATAAGTTCCAAATAGAAAAAAAACAGCATATAGCATTTATTCAAAAAAGAGTATAAAAATTTACTAATTAATATTAGATGGAGAATTGATATGTTAAAGAAAATTTTGTAGAATGTGTTTAAAATAAAATTATGATATTAAAATAGATGAAATATCTTAGAAAACTGATTGGGTTTGTCCGTTTTGTTAGGTATTTTTTATAATTAAATTAGGCTATATGTTTTTGTTCAAGATGTTAAAGAAATGATATAATGATAAAATTAAAAGATTTATATACTATTTGTGGAGGTGATTTAGAACAATTAACCAAGGATTCAATTTTTGAAAAACATGTTCGACCTTTAACTGATGATTAATTATATAGAAAGAAACCTAGTTAACTTCAAGTATTTAAATATTTATATAATAAAAAAAGAGAACTGGATACTCTTTTGTAAAATAATAATTGAATAGCTTTAAAGATATGCAAACAATAAGATTAGATTTTGAAAATCTGAGATTGTTGTGTTCTCAAGTTATGAGAAGGGAAAAAATGAAATGGAAAATATTGGAATAAGATATTCTCATTTGGAATTACGAAGTCAAGTAATTCACATCATAGAAATAATCAAAATAATAAATTCCAAAAATTATCTAAAAAAAATAAAAAGAACAGAAGAAACTCAAAAAAAGTACAAAGAAAGCTCAAAAGTAATAATTATTAATTGATTATTATAGATATGATGTTCAATATATTCAAGAGTAATCTTCTTCTTCTTTTTCATCTAGTAGTAGTGAGTATTAATAAAGTAGTGATTATGAATCTGAAGAAAATAATAATAATAATAACAATAATAATAATAATAATAACAATAATAAATAATAAAATGAACAGATAATGGTACCTTAAAAAATGAGATAAAAAAATAGTAAATAAATGAGTAATGACAAATAATAATCATTAAATAAGATATTACAAAATTATAAGTCATTTCCCGCAAAAAATGTAAAAAGAGAAGTTGCCTATTTATTATAATATTAAGATAGCGACACTTATAGTCTTATTGTAAAGAAAATAAAATAAGATTAATCGATTAACTCCATAAAGAGATGAATAATGTTATAAAATACAACATAACTAAAATAAATAATATATATATTATCAAAGGATCTAATGTTGTTATAAGTCGAGAGAATCGTAATTCTATTATGAGTTCTTATCAAAGATATCATAGGATTTTGATCTTTTTCTATTAAATAAAAGAGGTTTTAAAGTATTCATTCTGACGCTAGAACCAATTTATGATTGTAGTAAACTATCAATAGTTTATTTATTATTCTTATAAATTTCAGTGTTTATAGAAGGCATTCGTACACATTCAAGTAAAGCCTAGATGTATTTTTCAGATTTTAATTAGTTTTTTTCTTATTCTAAAAACAATTATAATTATCTGGAGGAGCTTTCAAAATCTAAATGATCTTATTCACTAATCTTTTTAGAAGTAATTCTTTTGGAATACTTATACGGTATCTATTTGATTTATTATAGAGATATAGGAGTATATGGTATAAATTTTAAAGGTTTTATTTATTTATGTTCGTTGAGTTTATTTTGAAATATAGTTTTGTTTGGAAATTGAATAGATTTGATTTCATTTGAAATTCTATTTAGAATAGGAATTTGATAATTTGGTCTTCGATATCGAATTTAAGGAATTTCTTGTTATATTTTATTAAGTGATAATTCTTACATTAGTATTAAATATAAATAAAATATTCATGTAGGCTTTGAGATAATTTTATTTGAGTAGATATTATAAGAAATCTATGTATGGATTATTAGGATTAGGATTTGTAGGAGCTATGTTATTGATTTCAACTAAAATAAGAAGATAATAATAAAAACAAAAATCTCTTGATCATCTATAATCAAATGAATTATCAACATAAGGAACAATATTTAATTCATTAGACAAGTGCTCTTTATCTAATTTAAATTAAGTTAGAACATTAAAAACATCAATTAAGCTTGAAATTGATTTCAAACAATAGATTATATAAGGAAGAGTAATTCTCACAATGAAAGCAATTAATGATATAGTAAAAGTACAATTAGATGCGAAAATGTTGAATGTACTTTAAGTAAAAGTTAATAATGAAGATACAACATTCAATTATAGATAATAATTAGTGTAAGAATTGGGAGATCAATTAGAAATAACCACTTAAAAATAAGCTAATGAAGAATTTTAGATAGAAATAATTTATTAAACTTAATAAAATGTTCATAATGGTTAAGTTGCATTAAATTGGCTATAACCATCTTAAACTTTTGGTAATAAACATCCCTTCTTATTTACATAATCAGAAGCAATTTATGCTAGATCATTAGTATAAATAAAATTCATTAATTTAGTTCCCTTGTTAAGATAGTCCTTCAATTAAATCAACTTTTGATATTGAATTAACTGTTCCCGAACCTTTAAAAGCTTATGGATCAGGAATATTAGTGAAAGAAACAAAAGATGGAAATAATAATACTTTCTATTTTAATTAACCTGTTGCTATTCCTGCATATCTGTTTGCTATATGTGCAGGAGATTTAGAAAAGAAACAAATTAGTGATAGAACTTATGTAATAGCTGAACCTGCTTTAGTCAATAAATGTTCATAAGAATTTTAAGACATGGAATCATATCTTTAAGCTATTGAAAATTATTTAACTCCTTATAAATGGAGCTAATATACAGTTGTTGTATTACCTAAAGCTTTTCCTTTTGGAGGAATGGAAAATCCAAATCTTACATTTTTATCACCTTCTTTAATTGTAGGTGATAAAAGTGAAACTTCAGTAGTAATTCATGAAATGATACATTCTTGGTCTGGAAATAGTATGACATGTTAAAATTGGGAATGTTTTTGGTTAAATGAAGGTATCACTACTTTTATTGAGAATAAAATTGTTGGTAGAATTTTTGGGTAAAATCAATAGACTTTACATGGTTTATTAGGGGTAATTATAATTATGCTTATTTTTAGGATAATAGCTTAAAAAATAGTATAAATAATTATGGACCTACACATACTTATACATCATTATCTCCAAAAATTGATTAACAAAATCCAGATGATTGTTTTTCTGCAATTCCTTATTAAAAAGGATGTTAATACTTAAGATTTCTTGAATCTTTAATTGGGGAAAACTTATTTTAATAATTTATAAGATTAGTTGTATCTTAGTATACTTTAAATTCAGATCAATTCAAAGCTCTTTTGGAAAAGTTTCTTAATGAAAATAATATCTCAGGTATAGATATTTAATGGTAATCTTGGATTATTGATCCTGGAATGCCTAAAAATTAATTAAATATTGATTAATAATTTAAAGATAGATATGAAACATTAGCTAATAATTTATATGAAAGTTAATTGTAATTAGAAGATTTCCAAAATTTGCATTCAAATGAAAAATGTTATATTTTAGATTTGTTAGGAAATAAATAAATAACAGAGAAACTTATGAAAGATTTAGAAGAAGAGTATCAATTATTTGATTCAAATAATCCAGAAATTTTACATAGAGTATTAATCTATGGAATTAATTGTGGTTATAAAGTTGCTTTAGGGTATAATTTAGAATTTATTAAATCTAGAGATAAGTTGAGTCAATTTTTAAGTATGAATGGTCGTATGAAATTTATTAATCCTGTTTATAGAGCTTTAGCTTAAAAACAACCAGAATTAGGATTAAGAATATTCAATATGTATAAAAACAGTTATCACAGTATAGCTGTAGCTTAAATATAAAAAATGTTTTAGAAATGAAAATAAAATACATTATATAGAATTAAAGTATATAAAATTAATACAATCTAAAATTTACATATAATATAGTAATTAAGTTTTAAAAAGTACAAATTTTAATTTATAAAGGATTTTGTAAAATATTTTTTTTATTATAAAATATGTTTTATGATAATTTAAATACTTTTTTTTTTAATATATTTTATTAAATTAATGTCGAAAAAATAAGTAAATGAAAATGCTGATAGATATAAAGGAGAAGCAGGAAATTTTTAATCTTTAGAAAGTGATGATGGTCCAGGACCAATGAAATGTAGAATATGATAATTAAATAATATAGCTATTGAAGGATGGATACTTATTGCGACAGGAATTCATGAAGAAGCTTAAGAAGATGATTTATTTGATGCATTCAGCAAATTTGGTCCAATTAAGAATCTTCATTTGAATCTTGATAGAAGAACTGGATTTGTTAAAGGGTAGAAGCTAATCTAATTATTAGTTATGCATTAGTTGAATTTAGCGATTTTGCTCATGCTTAAGATGCTTTGAATGGTTTAAATAAATCAGATGGAATCTATGGTAAAAAAATTCATGTTGATTGGGCATTCAAAAAACCAAGTAAGAAAGGAGCTTTGAAATAAGTTAAGAAATAATGATTTAAATTTTATATATTTATGCAAGCATTATAAATTAGTTATAAATATATTGTGTAATTTAATTTGTTTAATGTTTTTAGTTTAAATAAAACAATCATAGTCTCAAAATAACAAAAATATTGATAACAATTATATATTGATTTTGTAATTACAAAAATGAATAGAATTGAATTATAGCATATTCTATATTAAAAATACAAATTTAATAATATAAAGAGAATCTGCTAAGAATTTATTTATTATTGATATATTAATATAAAAAATTGGAATTTTATTACTAAATCTAAATTGTCATGTTATTGAGATTTAATTAAAAATTATTGTTAAAATAATAATAATAATAAATATCCAAATAATAAAAGGATTTGTACTACCTTAACCTCCCCCTTTAAATAAAATTCCTTAATAATATTATCACTTGTAATGAACTATAACAATAGCAGCAACTCTAATACGAAACGTTAAAATAAGAAGAATAAAGCCTTAAAGAAATACAATATTTTGGGTTAAGAAGATAAACAATAGATTTTGGAGAGTTTACAAAAAGACTCTTCTTTAGAAATGTATTAAATATTAAGTGAGAAATACA